GCTCCCCCCCTCCCCACCCCCCGAAGTGTGCCAGTACTGCTGGTCTTGAGGCAGTCATTTAATCTCTTCAGCTTCACTTCCCTCATCTTTAAACTGAGGGAGTTAGATTAGGCAATTTCTAACTTCTCTCCTAGCTGAAGAGTTCGTATCCTAATTATATTATAAGCTGGAGTCTGCCGGTGGCCACAGTCCAGTGTAACTTCCTAAGGGGCAGGAGCCCTGTCTTCTTCCTCCTTGAATGCTCCACTGCCTGGTGTGGTGCCTGGCACCCGGCAGGTACTCGATCACCTGATCGGTATCTGCTGGGAACTGAGAGCTGTACAGTTTGCTGAGGGAGAGCACCGCGTTCGCTGGTGGGGCCTCTCTTGGGCAGGTGGAGCTGCCTGCTGGCCAAAGCACACAAGCCTCAGGCCTCCTCTGGGAGCTTAAAAGACATGACCGAGGAAGCAGGTTCCCTCTCTCTGTGCAAGGGTCATGAGCAATGAAACTGTGAGCGTTTTGAGGCGGGGAGAGCTGAGCACTGTGAAAACTAGAACAGCCTGAACTAGAAAAACTTACTGCTCTTCCTGCTTCAGCAAAAGAATAAGTGCACCTGTGATTGGCTGCTGAGGCAATCGAGCGAGCCGGTGATGACAAAATCACCTCATAGCCGAGGCCTCGTGTTGCCTGCCGCAGCCACAGCTCACCTTGTGAGCAGGGAGGAGGCCCAGGGGCTCACCAGACAGCGGCCTCACATTTTCACAGTAAGACTGTGGGAGTCCCTGAGCCCTGAGGAACAAAGAGACCCTTACAAGTAGCCTTTGGGATATTTATAGCGGGAGCTAATGCTCTACTAACTAGTCATTATTACTAACCATAGTAATAACAGCCAACATTTTTTCAAGTGACTCTAATATGCCAGGCACGTGCTTTCATTCTTACTGTTTCTCTGTAGGATAGTTACTTATTACTTTTCCCTTTATTCAGAAGAAGCAACTAAAGCAGAGGACACATTGCAGATAAATGGTACAGCTGAGCCGTGAAACCGGTTTGCCAGTGAATTGGTCATCCATCCAGTCCACACATGCTGAACACTTGCCTTCTGCCACGCTCAGCTTCCCCTCTTAAGGAGGTTATTAATGGCCCGGTGAGCACGGACTCAGGTCACCACAACTTAAGATAGATTGTGGCAAATGCCTAGTAGAGATTAAAGAAAGTGCACTGCTGGAACATTTTGAAGAGAATCAGTTAACTGATTCTGGAAGGAGGGCTCAAGGCTGACTTCAGAGAATGTGGCAGCAGTAGAAAAATAATGAAATAATACCTCTTAAACACTTTCTACTTCAGGCATTATGCTTGACATTTTAAATAATAACAGCTAATATTTATTGAGTATTTTCTGTGTACCAGCCACAGTGCTCAGCATTTGTGCTTGTGTGTGTGTGTGAGAGAGAGAGAGAGAGAAAGAGAGAGAATTCTCGTTTACTGCTCACAAAAGCAGGTAACCAAGCCCCATTTTACAGCTGAGGAAAGTGAAGCTTACAGAAGTTAAGGAACTTGCCAGAGTTACATAGCTAGGATCTGGTTGAGCAGGGGTTCAAAGGCAGATGGTCAGGTTCCATAGCCTGTTTTGATAACCTCTTTGCTGTAACATGGACCATGCCTAAGTTTACTTCATTCCGTCTTCACAGCAACCTTAAAGGTAAGTATTAGCAAACCCGCTTGGCAGACAGGAAGTTGACTCAGGATATGTGACTTGCCCAAGAGCCTCCAGTCCATGGTAGAGCTGGCTCCAGGTCTCCTGGAGGAGCCCCCTGCCGCCATCCGACCAGCTTCAGTTTACTCTGCTAACTTTGAGGACCGCGCTCCTCATGGATGTGTTCTTTTTCCTTCCCTTGCCCTCTCCCTGCCTCCTCCCAGGGAACATCATTAAGAACGAAGCCTTGTACAGAGCTGGGATCCATCCCCTTTCTCTTGGTTCCCTCCTCAGTCCTCCGCATCTGGAGGCCCTGGTGGATCACGTGGTGGAGTTCAGTGCCGACTGGCTTCAGGGCAAGTTCCAGGGCAAACAGCAGCACACGCAGGTCTACCAGAAGGAGCAGTGCCCCGTCGGGCACCAGGTTATGAAAGAGGCATTTGGGCCTCCAGGCGGCTTCCAGAGGCTCACCTGGTGGTGCCCGCAGTGCCAGCCCAGGCTGCCACCTGACGAGCAAGAGCAGGGCCGGCTCTCCTAAGGCTCTCTAGCCCCTTCTTCATAACACTTTGCCCTGCAGGGGCTGATTCCTGAGTGTCAGGAAAGCGGGCACTGTCAGTATGTGGGACTGGGCACAGGAAGTGGAGGGCAGCGTGGGTCGGGGGCGGGGGGGCGAGTGTCAGTACCATTGCTGTCCATCTCTCTGGTGTTCTAAGGCACTTTCTACAGGGTTAGATTTTTTTCTTTTCTCTAGTTTTGGTTAATTCTTCTTATCTAATTCTGCCATTGTGAAAGATGAGAAAAATTATGACAATGGTAAAGGGAGAAACCTCCCAATGGGGCATTGATAGTGATAGCATATGGAGAACAGCTATGCCTCCACATTGCTTTGCAGGCCTTTGGTTTTGTTTTTGAAAGCTTGGTTGGTTTTCAGGCCCTCCATTTGGAAAAAGGAGTTGTCTCTCTTTGTTCCCCTAGAGGGATCCAGGGATGAGGATGGAGTAGCACATGAGGGTAGTGACCCACCTGGATCCCTTCCTGTGGGATGGAGACCCCGAGAGAAGGGTGGGAGGAAGAGAGGGACCGGGAATTGGCCACCTTCCTGCCATGCCCAGTGGGCTTAAGAGAAAAGCTGCTTATTTCCTCCTTAAGGTGTTGATATGTTGAACAGTGCAGGAATCGAGGATTGTAGAGACACGTTGTCAGGTTGTTAGCAACATGTCCAAGAAACGAGGACAGTCACGTGAAAATAAAGCTCTTTGTTCTTTTCCGTTGTTGTCTTTATTTGGTAGTCAGGGCTCTCAGGCTGTAAATACCTGAGCTCTCGTGAAGGCGGCTGTGTAGGACTGGCTGAGTTGGTCCGACGGGTCTGCTGAAAAGGAGCAGGGCAGGGAGGGGGTGAACACACACCTGCTCTTCTGCCCGTAGGTGTGCTGCATTGCCATGAAATGTGGCAGAGCACAGGTGGATTTATTTCCATGCACCAACCTCTGGCCTGTAGAAGACAGTGATTTGCATGAGCAAAATGGAAAAACGGTAAATATTTTAAGGCTTTCCTTTACATTCATCTCTTATGTCATCAAGAGTTGTTAACACTGGGGAAAGCCACTTTATGGCAGACCTGTAACCTGTAGGGACAGTTAACATGTACTGAGTACTTTATGAGGAAAGCTGTTAGCCCAGTTATTGCCATATAATCTGCAAAAAAAACCTTTCGTGGAGATAAGTACTCACTGTTACAGTCTTTGTTTTGTAGATGAGGAAACAGAACTCTAGACTAGAGGCTGAGGAAGTTGCTTAAGATCACACAGTTAACAGAGTTCAAGGGCACACACATGTCGCTCACAACTTTGTGGTTCCTTCTGTACAGGCCTCTATAACTGTGCCCCCGTACTGACCCAGGTGATGACTGACATTAGTAGGGGTATGTCCCTGAAAGTAGCCAAGTTTCCTTCGATGCAGCACCTCTGAAAATATGACCTTAGGAAGAAGCATCACCCCTGATGTCTCACAAATGAAGGGTTCTGTCATCAGATAATGCCTTATTTCCCTCGTGGTGCTTTGTGGACCTCATAAAAGGCTCCCAGAAATTCTGCAATGAAGCAAAGTGCTCTTACTTTGCCCACTGTTTCCAAACCTTATTTTACCATGAAACGCATTTCACCTTTACTCCTCCTTGGAACAGAGTGTGGAAAAGGCAAACTTCTTCAAGCACCATTTGAATCTGCTCTCACATGTGCCTCTCCACTGTCTGTTTTTCCTTTGGATCATTGCCTGCAACCAATATCAACAACCGCATTCAGTCATGACTTTTTTTTAAAGTTTATTTTGAGAGAGCACACAGGCGAGTGGGGGAGGGGCAGAGAGAGAGAGAGAATCCCAAGCAGGCTCCCCACTGTCAGTGCAGAGCCCGATGTGGGGCTCAATCTCGTGAACCGTGAGATCCTGACCTGAGCTAAAATCAAGAGTCGGATGCTTAACCGACTGAGCCACCTAGGTGCCCCTCAGTCATGACATTCTTATATCCAATCTAAATCATTTCTGCTTTCTTTGTATTTATTTCATAAATATCTTACACAATTGTACATTAGTTACCTTTTATACTTTACAGAAGTGTCATTCTTTCGGCCTTAGGCTGTATACGAGTCAGCTAGGGTTGCCTGACAAAATAGTATGGCGTGGGAAACTTAACAGAAATTTGTGCTCTCATGGTTCCAGAGCCTGAAGTCTACCGTCAAGGTGCCAGCATGTCAGTTTCTCCTGAGGTCTCCTTGGCTTACAGCTGCCTTCTTGGTGTCCCTACAGGGACTTTTCTCTATGTGCAGGTACTAACTGGGGTCTCTTGCTCTCCTTAGAAGGATACCAGTCCTATATATAGGTTAGGGCCCCACACTTACGACCGCATTTAACCTTAGTCACCTCTTTAAAGGTCCTATCCTAATATCCCACATGGCAGGTTAAGACTTCAATGTAAGAGTTGACTGGGGAGAGAAATGGGGGTATTTAACTTAAATTAGTTTGTAAAACCCAACTTCCAGACTGGATACTGTGAAAATACTATTTGAGTAATAGACTGCTTTTTGTATCTATAAGAATTATTTATCCACTCTTGCATGTATGTGTGTGCATGTATATATATTATATGAAAATGTTATGTGTGTATGTGTATATACATATGCATATACATATATATATGTTTCCTGAATTCAAATTTATCTTTCTAACTCACATGGGAAAACCTAAGTGTGAAATGTTAGGTATGAGCTAGGGCAGTGACAATGTCCAGACTGTTTCCTCTAAGTCAACATCTTATCAGTACACTTGGTCCAGAGTACAAGAAGGGGAATGGCCTGGGAAGGTTCTAGAGACACGGGAGGGTTGGGCACTGTGGCCTGTGTGTGGGTCTATCCCATTGTGATTGGTAGAAAAGGAAGGAGAAAAACGCTGTGGCTGCTGTTGATAAAAGAAGTGACAGAACTGGAAACAGCAATGGGAATGGAACTGAGGGGAGGTGCAAGGGCAGTCACGGGGTCGAGCTCCTAGGTGTCTAGATGTGGACACTCGAGGCCGGGGTTGGAGAGGGAGAGCTGAAGATAGCTCAAGCCTGGCGCCTGAGCTAGAGGAGCTTCCCCGCTGACCGATAGGGAAAATCAGTGAGGAGGTGAGCAGGTTCTGGGGAGAAGATCAAACTTGAGGCATGTTGAGCTGGAGGCACCTGTACGGCACCGGAGCTGGGGAGGACAGTGTAGTTTGGAAGTAGACCTGGCCCTCCACAAGTGCAGGCCGGGCTGAGAGGCACGGATGTGAGAGCTTCCCTCGTAGCATGACGCTCAGTTAGAGAAGGTTAACAAGGGCCATCACATATCATGAGAAAAGATGGCGGTCACAGTGGGACCTTAGAGAATGTCTTGTGTTTAAGCGGCAAGAGCAGAAAGAGAAGCCAGTCAATGAAAGATCAAGTATAACAGGAGGAAAAGTCAGCTTCAAGTAGAAGCTGATAGTCAACTGGCTCATGCCAAGTTGAAGGAGGAGAATGAGAAGAGGCCTTTGGATTTGCCAATCAAATGTGAGGTCATGAGAGCCTTCAAGAGAACAGTTGCACAGGGTGGCAGCCAGTCTAAAGGGGCTCAGAACTGCACGGGAGCTGAGGAAGTAGAAGTGATGAGGATGGTGTGCCCTTCAAGAAGGTTAGTCTTGAAGGAAATGAGAACGAAGAGGTCAGGGAGGAGATACTTATTAAAGGCTGGATATTGGGGCACCTGGGTACTTCAGTCGGTTAAGCATCTGACATCGACTCAGGTCATGATCTCAGGATTCATGGGTTTGAACCCCGCGTCGGGCTGTGTGCTGACAGCTTGGGGGCTGGAGCCAGCTTCGGATTCTGTGTCTCCTTCCCTCTCTCTATCCCTCACTTGCTCATGCTCTGTCTCTCTCAAAAATAAATTTAAAGAAAGAAAACATTTAAAAAATTAAAATAAATAAAAGGTGGATATGGTGTGAGGATTTGTACATAATTAGTTGAGAGGAAAAACTAGACAGCACACTAGCGCTGGCACTTAAAGATGACCAGGCAAGGATAGGAAGAGAAAAATAGATCCGGAGGAAATTTGCTGAAGGTGAGATCTCTTTAAGTACAAAGGAGGAGGGGGTGAGTTTTGTAATAGCTGTTCTGGGAATTTAGAGCCACTTAGGGTTCAAGGGAAGGGTTGTAGAGCCACACTGAACGCGCAGGGTGAATTGCTCTACCTCCCGACTTTCTCCAGCAGTATCCAGTAGCCAAGGCTCCAAAACAATGAAATGGATGTTGTATTAACATCCTGAAAGTAGCCTGGGTAAGAATGGTAGAAGGCCAAGAAGGTGAATGAGAATCTTTATTATTTAAAGTGTTTTTATTGGGGCGCCTGGGTGGCGCAGTTGGTTAAGCGTCCGACTTCAGCCAGGTCACGATCTCGCGGTCCGTGAGTTTGAGCCCCGCGTCGGGCTCTGGGCTGGTGGCTCG